GGAGGCAGAAGTTTTTTTTCATCCTAAGTAAGTAGATATTTAGTCGTCACTCTTGTTTACCGGTGTATGTTATAGGGTAACACTGTAAATCTCTTTATCTTCACCAAGGACTTGTTTATAACTCTTATCGTACATAATCGTTTTTGGCCGACGGTTCTAGGTATTTTGTTTGAAGCTCATGAGAGGACAAAGTGCATCGTTTGTAAACGATTCTGATTTCAGCTCCGACCCGATCATACAGATCTGACTAGTCGAACAATTGGCCACCCCACTCTAGCCCTTGCCTGCTTTGTTTTATCGTTGATTTATAGACTCACAGATTTGAGGTACCGCGACGGGGACGTGGCACGCGCGAGATGATGACAAAATACACAGCTTCTGATGACACGCCAAATCAATACTGGTGTCAACCGCATTTTCCGATGACAACATCCGCCCTAATATCATTAATCAAACAAAGGCTTAGGTAGTTCAGCGCAAAGGTTTAGGGTAGTAAGAATCCCCACTTGTGTTTGCAGGAAACGAAAGGCCGATGAAGGAAGTCAAAATCACTTTAAAATCTGCACTTGTTTCTGGTGACAGTTTCTATAAAAAGAAATTTGGCGCCCAGGATCGAAACTTTAGTGTTGCTTTGCAAAGTAATTCTTTAGATTATAAGGTCACTCCTTCCAGAAATTGGGGCCCTTCTCTTTATTTTTTTATCGCAGTGTCGGGAAGTGAAATAGCCAGGCTTCCTGATTTATCACCGAGCAATTGATTATAAGAGCTTACGGAAGGAATGGATAAACGCCGAAGGCAGAACTTTATTATGGTTTTTATACAACGGATGTTTGATAGCGTTCATGGTCATGATTTTTTTTTCTGTTTGAGACCCATTTTCAAGTATAAAATTTCAAAGTTCAGCTCGATTCAGAGAAACTGTAGTGGTGTCTGTGGTGAAGCGGTTAGGTGCTTAGCCGTCGTACGCAAAAGACATGACTCTGATATTCATGTTTTGTTTTCGGGGTTCACTTTAAGACTTTTCCCCCCTGATTGAGTATCTCTGCCTTTCTGCTCGGATGCTGTACCGCTCTCTGCCCGGTTTGGCCTGGACACTTAGGGTCTAAGCAGCCCGCCTCCTAAATGATGTAAATTGTGTCGATGCGGGCGTAAGAGTCATACAATTACATTTACAAACAATGGAGAGAAAATGTGTATTTTCTATAGACTTAATTTTAATTCGCTTTTCTGAATGCGTCTATGACCAGGGTTTTTTTCTGTTTGAGAAACACTTTGTGAGTTTAAAATTTCATAGTACACTGTACTTCGTACGCACTGACTGAACAATATAATGTAAACACGATCCTAAAACAGAAGTCACTGCTGCGCCACAAGGAACAAAAGTGTGTGTCATGTATTTGCCTCTATTTCCTGCACTGTGATGGTGACATATTGTTGCCTATCAGTCAAGTGCGTACGAGAAAATGCAGGTTGTGGTGAGTACGAGAACATGATCGACGTTCTGCACCCTGTCACGTCTTTGTACAAGCCTTTCTATTTCCTTTTGAGACTTTTAAATATTTCCTTTTGAAAAAAAAAGAATCCAAATTGTAGTGGTTTAACGTCCCTTTCCACATTGTAAAGCTATTTAAGCCGAATTTTACGTTCACCTCCGATAGGACATAATCAATTGGCCAAAACAATCCCAATTCAGAACACTCCAGCAGGAACTCTACCCGAAGCCATCTGTTCAGTAGTACAGTATGATATCAATTGGGCTAACGACGAGCCCATTTCATTTTCCATTAATTACAATCTTTGTCGTGGTCTATAGTTGACCTTAGTGGAGATCATGTCCCTCTTGCAGGCCTCTTCGTATGTGTCACGACGCAGTGACATCAGGGGCTCGTCCATTTTGGGGCTTAATATGAGCTTATTGGTATCATCTTAAAGCTTTTCATTTGACTTGCTTTTGAAAAAAAATTTCCATTTATCTTGAATACTAGTCGAGATATTTCCGAATGAAGGAGGTGGGGGTTGCCTGGTTTCAGAGGTAAAATTAGCGAGAAAATGGCCACCAAATTTTTGTAACTTCTATAGCGGGAGAGTCCTTGGAAACTGAAAATTCAACATTTTTTGTGTGCCTTTAATCAATGTTTTTCAGTAAATTCCACACAAAAATGTGTTTTTAAATGGACTTAAAGGGTGTTGAGCCAGTTTTTTAAAAATTAGAAGAAGAAAAAATTACCCATCGGCCCAAAAAAATGCAGATTTCTTTTAATTCCTTATTTTGACTGGCGCCTGATTTCACCTTGATGCCTCACGTATATCCTTGTAGAGGTCATACAGCTTTTAGACTGTGCCCTGTCATGGCCGCAGCTCTTCGCTTTCCTTAAAAACGTCGCTGCCAAGCTTTCAAATTATGGGTGCGCCATTGCGCCCAAATTATGGTGGGCAAAATATTTCGTTTCTTGGGAAGTAATGTATCTTTTACAACAATTGTTGTTATTCCACCCCAATTATAACACCAGTCTTGCTATAGTCGAGTGCGCACGGAGCCCGTGCACATACCACTCACACACACACACACACACACACACACACACATACACACACACACACACACATACACACACACACACACAAACACATACACACGCATAAATACACACAAACACACACATACAAACGCACAAACATACACATAT